AATTTAAACCGTTAAAGCGTTCAATAAACTTTCCTGAATCTAACAGATTAAATTAAAAAGAAACTATAATTTTACAGACTACAAAATCTACAGGACATTCCACTTTGTTCAGTTGTCCCAATTTCCCCTGAAACACCCTAAAATTTTAGCGAAAAATCCCCAAGAGGGGGAAAATCCCCCCCCCGGTTGAAAGCCCCTGCCTTAGGAGTTACTGAGTGTCTGTTGCTTACATGTTCTAAACTCCATGAAGCATTATTGTATCATTCATGTGTTAAAACCAGACAGAGTCGTCCATCTTTTGTGGATTGCCTTCAATAAGTTGAGTGTGTTTCTGTACGGTGAAGTATGCTTTAGTAAGCTGAAGTGTATTTCAGTGTGCCTGGACAAAAGAAAATTGCACAAATGGGTTCAGCTCTATGACTCTATGACTCTATGACTCTATGACTCTATGACCGCGGGTTCAATCCCGGCCGGGGGTATGGTTTGTTTGCAATCGTGTCATTACGATTTCTTGAGTCCTGTGGATTCCTTGTCATGCTGATCTTCGAAAGCATGACTGAACTGATAATTTTGGCGACGGCGTAGACCCTCAAAGAGGATGTAAATTATAGCACTTGACTTTCAGTTATCAGTCTGAGGACAATTACATAGAAATAACTTCAGCTGAACATCATATGTTTAAAACGTTGCGAAACTGACACCCTCTTCCTCTTCTCCAGGACACTTGCAGTTTGTTTAGCCTTAGGGCTAAGAGGAATACTCTTCCCGATGATTGCGCGAGAGATTAACACCAGTCTACTTCTCTGTCACTCTTAGCTACCATCCAGAAGACAAATATGAGCAGCATAATAAAGCAGTCAAAACTAAGACTGGGCGACCTCCATACCAACTCTTGCGGAAGGTAACCTCGAGCTTCAGAGATATTGATTCGCCTATGGTGACGGACTGTTGTATTTATGTCAGCAGCTGGGTAGCCATCCCAACCCACGGTAGAGTCCATAGTTACTCAGTGACGCTCTTCTTATATTAGATGGAAATGCCTTTAATGTTACACACACACACACACACACACACACCAATGGAAATATAAAGGACCCCAATGGAAATAAGTCACTGTGTCTGACTTTTTTGGGTTATCCTAGGTTCTCTACACATATGCTGCTATGTATGATAATTCTATGTAACTGTATTTGTGTATACCTGAATAAACTTACTTACTTACTTACTTACTTACTTACACACACACACACACACACACACACACACACACACACACACACATCTATCGAAACAGAGAGATTGCCTGAGGCATGGAAGACAGCAAATGTAGTCCCAATCTTTAAAAAAGGAGACAGACATGAAGCATTAAACTACAGACCAGTGTCACTGACATGTATAGTATGCAAAATCATGGAGAAGATTATCAGGAGAAGAGTGGTGGAACACCTAGAAAGGAACGATCTCATCAACAGCAGCCAACATGGTTTCAGGGACGGGAAATCCTGTGTCACAAACCTACTGGAGTTCTATGACATGGTGACAGCAGTAAGACAAGAGAGAGAGGAGTGGGTGGATTGCATTTTCTTGGACTGTAAGAAGGCGTTTGACACATTTCCACACAAGAGATTGGTGCAAAAACTGGAGGACCAAGCAGGGATAACAGGGAAGGCACTACAATGGATCAGGGAATACTTGTCAGGAAGACAGCAGCGAGTCATGGTACGTGGCGAGGTGCCAGAGTGGGGACCTGTGACCAGCGGGGTCCCGCAGGGGTCAGTCCTAGGACCAGTGCTGTTTCTGGTATTTGTGAACGACATGACGGAAGGAATAGACTCTGAGGTGTCCCTGTTTGCAGATGACGTGAAGAATTCACTCGATCGAAGACCAGGCAGAACTACAAAGGGATCTGGACAGGCTGCAGACCTGGTCCAGCAATTGGCTCCTGGAGTTCAATCCCACCAAGTGCAAAGTCATGAAGATTGGGGAAGGGCAAAGAAGACCGCAGACGGAGTACAGTCTAGGGGGCCAGAGACTACAAACCTCACTCAAGGAAAAAGATCTTGGGGTGAGTATAACACCAGGCACATCTCCTGAAGCGCACATCAACCAAATAACTGCTGCAGCATATGGGCGCCTGGCAAACCTCAGAACAGCATTCCGACATCTTAATAAGGAATCATTCAGGACCCTGTACACCGTGTACGTTAGGCCCATATTGGAGTATGCGGCACCAGTTTGGAACCCACACCTAGCCAAGCACGTGAAGAAACTAGAGAAAGTGCAAAGGTTTGCAACAAGACTAGTCCCAGAGCTAAGAGGTATGTCCTACGAGGAGAGGTTAAGGGAAATCAACCTGACGACACTGGAGGACAGGAGAGATAGGGGGGACATGATAACGACATACAAAATACTGAGAGGAATTGACAAGGTGGACAAAGACAGGATGTTCCAGAGATTGGACACAGTAACAAGGGGACACAGTTGGAAGCTGAAGACACAGATGAATCACAGGGATGTTAGGAAGTATTTCTTCAGCCACAGAGTAGTCAGTAAGTGGAATAGTTTGGGAAGCGATGTAGTGGAGGCAGGATCCATACATAGCTTTAAGCAGAGGTATGATAAAGCTCACGGCTCAGGGAGAGTGACCTAGTAGCGATCAGTGAAGAGGCGGGGCCAGGAGCTCGGACTCGACCCCCGCAACCTCAACTAGGTGAGTACAACTAGGTGAGTACACACACACACACACACACACACACACACACACACACACACACACACACACACACACACACACACACACACGCATGCACAAACACACATGCACACAGACTTCAGACCTGGTCCAGCAACTGGCTCCTGGAGTTCAACCAGACCAAGTGCAAAGTCATGAAAATTGGGAAAGGGCAAAGAAAACCACAGACGGAGTACAGTCTAGGGGGCCAAAGCCTACAAATCTCGCTCAAGGAAAAGGATCTTGGGGTGAATATAACACAGGACATATCTCCTGAGGTGCGCATCAACCAAATAACTGCTGCAGCATACGGGCGCCTGGCAAATCTAAGTACAGCATTCCGACATCTAAATAAGGAGTCATTCAGGACCCTGTACACTGTGTACGTTAGTCCCATATTGGAATATGTAGCGCCAGTTTGGAACCCTCACCTAGCCAAGCATGTAAGGAAACTAGAGAAAGTGCAAAGGTTTGCAACAAGACTAGTCCCGGAGGTAAGGGGTATGTCCTATAAGGAGAGGTTATGGGAAATCGACCTGATGACACAAAAAGACAGGAGAGATAGGATGGATATGATAAGGGCATATAAAATTCTGAGAGGTATAGACAAGATGGACAGAGACAGGATGTTCCAGAGATGGGACACAGCAACGTGGGGTCACAGTTGGAAGTTGAAGACTCAGATGAATCACAAGGACATTAGGAAGTATTTCTTCAGTCACAGAGTTGTCAGGAAGTGGAATAGCCTGGGTAGTGATGTAGTGGAGGCAGGATCCATACACAGGTTTAAGAAGAGGTATGATAAAGCTCACGGAGCGGGAAGAGCGACCCAGTAGCGACCAGTGAAGAGGCGGGGCCAGGAGCTATGAATCGACCCCTGCAACCACAACTAGGTGGGTAAACACACACACACACACACACACCTCACCTCACTCAAGGAAAAAGATCTTGGGGTGAGCATAACACCAAGCACATCTCCTGAGGTGCACATCAACCAAATAACTGCTGCAGCATATGGGCGCCTAGCAAACCTCAGAACAGCATTCCGATATCTTAATAAGGAATCGTTCAGGACCCTGTACACTGTGTACGTTAGGCCCATATTGGAGTATGCGGCACCAGTTTGGAACCCACACCTAGCCAAGCACGTAAAGAAACTAGAGAAAGTGCAAAGGTTTGCAACAAGACTAGTCCCGGAGCTAAGGGGTATATCCTACGAGGAAAGGTTAAGGGGAATCGACCTGACAACACTTGAACAGGAGAGATGACGACATATAAAATACTGAGAGGAATCGAATACAAGGTGGAGAGATGGGACACAGCAACAAGGGGACACAGTTGGAAGTTGAAGACTCAGATGAATCACAGGGATGTTAGGAAGCATCTCTTCAGTCACAGAGTTGTCAGGAAGTGGAATAGTTTGGGAAGCGATGTAGTGGAGCTGGAATACTGCTGTACACTAACGCCCCCCTTCAAGGCTGGCAACATTGCAGACCTGAAGAATGTACAAATAACTTTCATGGCACACATAAGTGCGTTAAGGCACCTAAACTACTGGGAACGGTTGAAGGTCCTTGATCTGTATTCCCTCGAACGTAGGCGATAGAAATACACGATAATATACACTTGGAAGGTCCTGGAGGGATTGGCACCAAACTTGCACACCAAAATCACTCCCTATGAAAGCAAAAGACTCGACAGGAGATGAAAAGCAGGGGCGCCACGAGTACATTGAGAGACAACACAGTAAGTGTCCGGGGCCCCAAACTGTTCAATTGCCTCCCAGCATATATAACGGGGAATTACCAATAGACCCCTGGCTGTCTTCAAGAAGGCGCTGGAAAGGCACCTAAAGTCAGTACCTGACCAACCGGGCTGTGGTCGTACGTCAGCTTGCGTGCGGCCAGCAGTAACAGCCTGGTTGATCAGACTCTGATACACCATGAGGCCTGGTCTCAGACCGGTCCGCGGGGGCGTTGACCCCAGAAGCCCTCTCCAGGTAAACTCCAGATAAACACAATGTGACTTTTTTTTTTTATCAAAATTTGATACAGCCAATTGCGTAGGTATTGTGATCTGTGATATCGTTAAATTTTATTGCAGTCAAGGGGAAGCGCTAAACTCGTATAGGTCATTTGATGCCTTGGGAATGGGAATATTCAGGTGTTCAATCCATGGAAGGTGTTCGATCCAAGAGCTCCCTCACCGGTGTCAAGGAACCTCCCCAGAGGGAAGAGCCTGGGCTAAACAAGGTGTAGAAGTCACTCACCACCGATGGCGTACAAGGTGACCACCAGGAACAACCCGAAGTGGCTGAAGACGAAGGTTAAGAACAAGGTAGTAGCAGTCTTTTCCTTCTTAGTATAGTAGCCCTCCTCCACGAATTCATTGTAGTCAATCATGGTTGTGGAAGCAGGTATCACAAGTTAACTTGAGCGCTGTCACTTTATCGTTGTTTTTTTTTTCATCTTATGCCTGACGGCGCTGCTGCGTGGTACTGTAGAGCTCTCTGGCAAGCGGCGGTGTAAGAACTGGCAAGTGGTGGCTGTGCAAGTACTGGTAGGTGGAGGTACACGAAGTATGCACCCGGCCTTCTCCAACTCACACATACACAGAGGGGGTAGTAACAGGACGAGGGCTGATTTGTTTATGGCAACCTCCTCCTCCTCCTCCCTCTCCTAACCCCTACCACTTTTTTTTGTATTGATCAAAATTGTGTACATCCACAGTATGCTTCATGGTGGGAGAAACTACCACTGATTTCCTTTCATGCTCCATCACACAAGATGGGTCTGCATACTCGAGGTGATGAAACCCTTCAGACAGACTTAGGACACCTCAGATAGACAATGAATACACAAGCAACCTGGTTCAAGTCGGACCGAAACGTCGTCGTATGTTTCTTTCTTTCTCCTATGTGCTGGTTATTTGTGTATTGTTCCAGTCACGGTATTGTGCCTTTTTGATCTTTAGGCGATGAAGATATCGTCAAGTACCGCCCGTGGTATGGTTTATCCCCATACCACTTTTTTTTTTTTGGTAGCAAAACTGGATACAGCAACAAAGTACTGCAACCTTGTTCAATATGACTTACATAATGTAGCTATGCTTCTCTGTCACAATTCACAATACATGGTGGATTTCACACATAGTGTTGCAATGTGTGAGCAATAAGCGTTGAGCAGCTATAACGAGAGCTTCATAGACGTCATTCCGGCAGAGCTGGAGTTTATGTTACTTGAGAATTACCATTGTTTAAGATGGCTCAATTCCATACATAGAAGTGAAATTTTTATGAAGATATCTCCATCATCAAGGAGCGAGAATGAAAAAAATTAGGGGGAGAGAAATTTTGTCAACGCATTAGTCAACAAAAAAAAATCGTTGCCAAAATATCTGAAGGTATTAGGGTATTTTGGGGTTGCTAAATTCGAAAATGGCAGGTTTTCCAAATTGTCTCTAGTTTGTGAGATACTGCAAACCTTGCTGTATAGCCCTTGTGGCTTAGCGCTTCTTTTTGATTATAATAATAATAATAATAACTGCAAACCTTCCCTCATTTAAGAGGGAACTTAGCCATAACGCGTGTATATGTATATTTAGTGACAATTTGTATATATAGATAATTTTAATAGAAATTAGAATTTTATTTTTAAATGATTTAATAGTTTAAGAAAGGAGTTGTATTAATAACGACCACGTGACAATACTGTAACCTTTATTTTGTTATTTTTTTTCAGATAAACATGAGTTCTTCCCATAGCATTTTGCTACATATGTGACGAATACTCTTTGCAAAAAAAAAAAAAAAAAAATCACAGATTTTGTAACACAAGCTTTTCTTGCTTATTTTGAAGTGGCGCTTGAAGAAGAGACAAGTCTTGAGTTCTTCGTATGGTTTGTAAAACCTGTGTAGAATGCTTACCACAGTGGAAAAATAGGCAAAGGGAAAGTTTAATCTTTGACGTGCCCAGAGGCGTCGTAAGGAGGAGGCGGGCCGCCCCGGGTGACACCATTTACGGGGGTGACACCGTAGATCCTCTAAAGAGGGTGACACTAATGCCCAAAACAGTGCTGCACCAACATAAGAGAAGAATCCTTCGTTTCTATATAGCCTATTATATATTAACAAAGTACAAATAAGCCTATATAGGGAAAAATCATTGATTTTGATAATGTGATAGATGATTTTGCATAATTGAAGGCAAGAAAATGTAAGATCACATTCGCTGAGATGTTACCTGTACTCAAGGTCAAATCGGAACAAGTGTTTCTCTGATATTGCAATTTTTTCTTTAATTTTCAAGTTTTTTTTTTGTTTGTATTTGCATTGTTGAAGTTGAATAAATGTAGGATCTGTTGCCTGTACTCAAAGTGGTATTTGAGTTTATGTTTCCTCAATATTCTCCTGTTTGGTTTATGGCCCTTAAATGTTCTCATTGCTAAACATTAGTCACTCACTGGTCATGCAGTAGTGACATAACTGGAGTTTACCCCCCATCCCCCCCATCCTTGAATTTCATGGGGTGACACCAGAGATGCTGCTCCGGGTGACACCAACTCTAGCGACGCCTCTGGGTGTGCCTATGGTGTGGAGAGAGCTGAAAAGTCATCATGACAATTGTGATTTCTATATGGAGAATGTGAAAGATTTCAATAGATACAAATAAAAAGTCAAGTGGGAATATCCTGATTTGGAGTCAGCAAGGAGACCTGTGCCACGCAGCGAAGACGTTACCATACCAGTGTTTACAACACTGCCTGACCTTTCGTTGCCAGATGTTGAAGAAACTCAGAGTTTAGGATATAACACAGGTCATAGCAGTGGAAGTAAATATGAAGTAAGCATTTTAATACCCCAGCAGTTCTCCCAAGAAAAACTCAATGATCTGATACATGACCTCAGTCTGTCAAAGTATCTGAACTTTTAGCATTCAGACTAAAAGAAAAGAACTGTCTGCAGCAAGAAGTTAAAATAGCAGCTTATCAGACAAAACAGGTTGAGCTCCTTCCTTACTTCAGCTAAGATGAAGAACTTATTTTTTTTATTTTTTTTTATTATCACACTGGCCGATTCCCACCAAGGCAGGGTGGCCCGAAAAAGAAAAACTTTCACCATCATTCACTCCATCACTGTCTTGCCAGAAGGGAGCTTTACACTACAGTTTTTAAACTGCAATATTAACACCCCTCCTTCAGAGTGCAGGCACTGTACTTCCCATCTCCAGGACTCAAGTCCGGCCTGCCGGTTTCCCTGAACCCCTTCATAAATGTTACTTTGCTCACACTCCAACAGCACGTCAAGTATTAAAAACCATTTGTCTCCATTCACTCCTATCAAACACGCTCACGCATGCCTGCTGGAAGTCCAAGCCCCTCGCACACAAAACCTCCTTTACCCCCTCCCTCCAACCTTTCCTAGGCCGACCCCTACCCCACCTTCCTTCCACTACAGACTGATACACTCTTGAAGCCATTCTGTTTCGCTCCATTCTCTCTACATGTCCGAACCACCTCAACAACCCTTCCTCAGCCCTCTGGACAACAGTTTTGGTAATCCCGCACCTCTTCCTAACTTCCAAACTACGAATTCTCTGCATTATATTCACACCACACATTGCCCTCAGACATGACATCTCCACTGCCTCCAGCCTTCTCCTCGCTGCAACATTCATCACCCATGCTTCACACCCATATAAGAGTGTTGGTAAAACTATACTCTCATACATTCCCCTCTTTGCTTCCAAGGACAAAGTTCTTTGTCTCCGCAGACTCCTAAGTGCACCACTCACCCTTTTCCCCTCATCAATTCTATGATTCACCTCATGTTTCATAGACCCATCCGCTGACACACCCACTCCCAAATATCTGAATACATTCACCTCCTCCATACCCTCTCCCTCCAATCTGATATCCAATCTTTCATCACCTAATCTTTTTGTTATCCTCATACCTTACTCTTTCCTGTATTCACTTTTAATTTTCTTCTTTTGCATACCCTACCAAATTCATCCACCAATCTCTGCAACTTCTCTTCAGAATCTCCAAAGAGCACAGTGTCATCAGCAAAGAGCAACTGCGACAACTCCCACTTTATGTGTGATTCTTTATCTTTTAACTCCACGCCTCTTACCAAGACCCTCGCATTTACTTCTCTTACAACCCCATCTATAAATATATTAAACAACCACGGTGACATCACACATCCTTGTCTAAGGCCTACTTTTACTGGGAAATAATTTCCCTCTTTCCTACATACTCTAACTTGAGCCTCACTATCCTCGTAAAAACTCTTCACTGCTTTCAGTAACCTACCTCCTACACCATACACCTGCAACATCTGCCACATTGCCCCCCTATCCACCTGTCATACGCCTTTTCCAAATCCATAAATGCCACAAAGACCTCTTTAGCCTTATTTAAATACTGTTCACTTATGTGTTTCACTGTAAACACCTGGTCCACACACCCCCTACCTTTCCTAAAGCCTCCTTGTTCATCTGCTATCCTATTCTCCGTCTTACTCTTAATTCTTTCAATAATAACTCTACCATACACTTTACCAGGTATACTCAGCAGACTTATCCCCCTATAATTTTTGCACTCTCTTTTATCCCCTTTGCCTTTATACAAAGGAACTATGCATGCTCTCTGCCAATCCCTAGGTACCTTACCCTCTTCCATACATTTATTAAATAATTGCACCAGCCACTCCAAAACTATATCCCCACCTGCTTTTAACATTTCTATCTTTATCCCATCAATCCCGGCTGCCTTACCCCCTTTCATTTTACCTACTGCCTCACGAACTTCCCCCACACTCACAACTGGCTCTTCCTCACTCCTACAAGATGTTATTCCTCCTTGCCCTATACACGAAATCACAGCTTCCCTATCTTCATCAACATTTAACAATTCCTCAAAATATTCCCTCCATCTTCCCAATACCTCTAACTCTCCATTTAATAACTCTCCTCTCCTATTTTTAACTGACAAATCCATTTGTTCTCTAGGCTTCCTTAACTTGTTAATGTCACTCCAAAACTTTTTCTTATTTTCAACAAAATTTGTTGATAACATCTCACCCACTCTCTCATTTGCTCTCTTTTTACATTGCTTCACCACTCTCTTAACCTCTCTCTTTTTCTCTATATACTCTTCCCTCCTTGCATCACTTCTACTTTGTAAAAACTTCTCATATGCTAACTTTTTCTCCCTTACTACTCTCTTTACATCATTCCACCAATCGCTCCTCTTCCCTCCCGCACCACCTTCCTGTAACCACAAACTTCTGCTGAACACTCCAACACTACATTTTTAAACCTACCCCATACCTCTTCGACCCCATTGCCTATGCTCTCATTAGCCCATCTATCCTCCAACAGCTGTTTATATCCTACTCTAACTGCCTCCTCTTTTAGGTTATAACCTTCACCTCTCTCTCTCCTGATGCTTCTATTCTTTGTATCCCATCTACCTTTTACTCTCGTGTAGCTACAACATAAAAGTGATCTGATATATCTGTGGCCCCTCTATAAACATGTACATCCTGGAAGTCTACTCAACAGTCTTTTATCTACCAATACATAATCCAACAAACTACTGTCATTTCGCCCTACATCATATCTTGTATACTTATTTATCCTATTTTTCTTAAAATATGTATTACCTATAACTAAACCCCTTTCTATACAAAGCTCAAT